AAAGAAAAAAAAAAAAAAAAGAAGAGGAGAAGGGATTGCAGCATGGCCATCCCGTCAGGGCAGGGGATGATTTCTTTCTCTTTCTCTGGTGAGTACACATGCCCTATATAGCAAAAACTTTCAAAAAAAAAAATGTAGTGTAGCCTACATGCACACTGTTTACACAGTCTTTAGTAGTGTACAATAATGTCCTAAGCCTTCACATTCACTCACCACTCATTCACTGACTCACCCAGAGCAACGCTGGAGTCCTGCAAGTTCCATTGAAGGTAGACTCTATACAGGTGCACAGGTGCATTGTTTTTTCTCTCACACTGTATTTTTTTTTTTTTTTGAGAGGTTTTTGCTATAGGGCGCATGCGCTTGCCAGACAGACAGAGAGAGAGACAGAGAGACAGAAAGCGAGACATTACCCCCCAGGGGGGATGGCCACGCCACAATCCCTTCTCCTCTGTTCTCCTCTCAGGATCTTGGGCACACATGCACACGCGCCTGGCGTGAGTTTTAAGCCACCGGGTCCGGGACGCGAACCGCAGTTGACTATGTGGGAGTCCAGCAACATAGCCATTACACTAACTGCTGGTCCCTCTCACACTGTACTTTTATACTGAATCTTTGTTGTTGTTGTTTTTTGGAGAGGTTTTTTGCTATAGGGCGCGTGTGCTCGCCAGACAGAGACAGAGAGACAGAAAGCGAGACATTACCCCCCAGGGGGGATGGCCACGCCACAATCCCTTCTCCTCTGTTCTCCTCTCAGGATCTTGGGCACACATGCACACGCGCCTGGTGTGAGTTTAAGCCATCGGGTCTGGGACTTGAACCGCGGGTCGACTATGTAGGAGTCCAGTGACATAGCCATTATGCTAACTGCTGGTCACTCTACTGAATCTTTACTACGTTAATAAATACAAATAATGGGGTCGGCAAGTGGTGTGGTAGTTAAGATGCTGGACTCCCACATGGCTGACCATGGTTCAAGTGCTGGACCTGACAGCTTGCTTTTTCACTTTCCTCTCCTCTAGCTCTTTGTCTCTTTGGTCAAATTAAAAATAAATAATAACAACAAATAAAATTAAATAATTTAAAAAGAAACACAACTAATACCTATTTGTGTTTTAACTGCCTACAGTATTCAGTACAGCAACATGCTATACAGGTTTGTAACTTAGGAGCAAAAGGCTATACTGTATAGCCTAAGTATACAGTAGGCTATGTCAACTAGGTTTGTGTAAGTATATTGTATGATATTCACATAATGATAAAAGCACCTGAGGACTCAATTCTCAGAGTATATCCCTGCATGACTGTATACGTATATATACATGCACACACAGATAAACGATAAAGCAAACACGAAAAGATGTTAAGAAATGGGAGTTGTCTAGGCAAAAGAAATATAAGATTTCTTTGTACAATCCTTGCAACAGTTTTGTAATTCTGAAATTATTTCAAATTAAAATGCTGAATAAAAAAGAATGCTACCAGGGCTAGCAGGTGGCATGGTAGTTAAAGGTGCTGGATTACCACATGGCCAACTGCAGTTTGAGTCCCAGACCTGGCGGCTTGCTTTCTCACTTTTCCTTTCTCTCTGTCTCTGTCTGGTCAAATTAAAAATTATAATAATAATAACAACAAATGGAATTAAATGAATAAATTTTTAAAGAATGCTACCCTACATATGAGGCATCTTCACAATGTTCATGGAAAGTATATACTATGAAAAAGACTATGCATACTATGCTTGGATTTCAAAAATGTTTGCACCAGGCCACGTGCTATGGTGCAGCAGTAACGCAAAGGCCCTGCAGAGCTGGAAGCCAGATGGTTGCACATGGATACGGAACCCACAGCTGGCCTAGAAGCATGCCACGCATGTCTATGGGCACCTGGGACCTTGAGGTAATAGAGGTCTGAGGAGGAAGGAATCACTGCATGACAGGTCTATATCTCTCTCTCTCATATGTGTGTGCATGCACTCTCTATCGTGAAAGAGAAAAAAGGGGAAAAAAAGTGCACTTTATAAAATTGTACTTTGGGGCTGGCAGGTGGCGTGCTGAAGGGCGCTGGACTCCCACATGGTCGACTGCAGTTCATGTCTCAGACCTGATGGCTTACTTTCTCACTTTCTCTCACTCTCTCAGTCTCTCTCTAGTAACTGCATGTGCCCAATAGCAAATTTAAAAAGCAACAATAGGGACCAGTAGATGGTGTAATAGCTACATTGCTGGACTCCCATGTATTCAACCACAGTTCAAGCCCTGGACCCAACAGCTTAAACCTCACACCAGGCATGTTTGAATGCCCATCAAAATCCCAATAGGAGAATGGAAGAAAAGGGATTGTGGTGTGGCCATCCCCCTGGTGGGGTGATTTCTCACTTTCTATCTCTCTGTCTCTCTGGCGAGCACACACACCGTATAGCAAAAAAATCTCTCTAAAAAATTAATTAATTGGGACCAGCAGATGGCATAATGGTTACATTGCTGGACTCCCACATAGTTGACCATAGTTCAAGTCCCAGATCAGTGGCTTAAACTCACACGGGCACATGTGTGTATGTGCCCAAGATCCCGAGAGAAGAAAGGATTGCTGTATGGCCATCCCCTCTGGGGGGTGATTTCTCACTTTCTGTCTCTCTGTCTCTCTCTGTCTTTCTGGCGAGCACAGGCACCCTATAGTGAAAACCTCTCCAAAAAAAAAGAATTAATTAAGTAAGTAAGTAAGTTAAGTATTTGAGGGAAATAACAATAGTATTGTGGGTTATCCCTCTCACTTAAAAAAAAAAAATTTAAAAACAAATACAGGGGGCACCAGCAGTTCGTGAAATGGCTATGTCGCTGGACTCCCACGTGGTCAACCGCGGTTCGCGTCCTGGACCCGGTGGCTTAAAAAAACTCACGCCGGAACTCACGCTGGGTGCGTGTACGTGTGTGCCCAAGATCCCGAGAGGAGAATGGAGGAGAAGGGATTGCGGCGTGACCATCCCCCCTGGGGGGTGATTTCTCACTTTCTGTCTCTATGTCTCTCTCTGTCTGTCTGGTGAGTGCACGCGCCCTATAGTGAAAAATCTCTCCAAAAAAAAAAAAAAATACAGAAATGCACATGAACATGAATTTTTTTTTAAAGCTAAGGAAAACTTTATGAGGAAACAATAATTCAAAAGTAACATATGACAAAGGCAAATGAGCTCTTCCTGCCATCTTTCTGTGCCATCGTATGGTGCACATAACGTCCTGGCTGATGCTCTCAAGAGAATTACCAATGCCAAAAAGAGAGGCAAATGCCACGTTCTTATTAGGCCACGCTCCAAAGTCGTTGTCTGGTTTCTAACTGTGATGATGAAGCATGGTTACATTGGTGAATTTGAAATCACTGATGACCACAGAGCTAGAAAAATTGTTGTGACCCTCACTGGCAGGTTAAACAAGTGTGGAGTGATCAGCCTCAGGTCTGATGTGCAACTCAAAGATCTAGAGACATGGCAGAATAATCTGCTCCCATCGCGTCAGTTTGGTTTCATTGTACTGACAACCTCAGCTGCCATCATGAACCATGAAAAAGCAAGATGGAAACATACAGGAGGGAAAGTCCTGGGACTCTTTTTCTAGGGAAATAATATACACATACAAATAAAATAACTCATTTGGGAAAAAAAAAAAAAAGGGCAAATGAAAGGTCATGTGTGGTAAAAACTAGAAAATGTCCACTGGATTTGACCATCATGAAATCACTGGTGATTTTTGTTTTGTTTTGTTTTAGGGATTTTTTTTTTCAAGATTTTTTGCTATAAGGTGCAGGATCCTGCAGAAGACAAATAGAGGGGGGGGGGAAGTAAGAAATCACCCCCTCACACCACCATAATCCCTTCTCCTTCATTCTCCTCTCAGGATTTTGGGCATGTGTGCACATGCACCTAGCATGTTTTTCAGGCTTCCAGGTCTAGGATAGTGAATTCAGCCTATGTGGGATTCAGTGCCTTTACCACCATGACACCTGCTGGCCCATCACTGATGGTCTTTACCAACAAATTCAGGAAAACATTCAAGACAAAACCAAACACTGAGAACAGGAATGAGAATGGGAAGTGGGGAGACGCTACAGAATACCTTTGAATACCTTTGTGTACTGTTTGCTATGCAACCCTAGTACACAAACTAACAAAAGTACTTGCAGGATGATCAGGTCATTTCCCCACAATCTAGCTTTTAGCCTTGGATTAAACAATAAAAATAGAAATATGCTTACTTAGGGGGGCCAGCAGATGTCATGGTGGTTAAGGGTGCTGGACTTCCACATGGCCAACTGCGGTTTGAGTCCCAGACCTGGAGGCTTGCTTTCTCACTTTCCTTCTCTCTCTCTCTGCCTCTCTCTCTCTCTCTCCCTCTCTCACACTGTCCCTCTCTGGTCAAATTAAAATAAATGAATAAAAATAAATAAAATAAATAAAGCTAAATAAACAATTCTTAAAAAAAAAAAAAAAGAAAGAAAAAATATGCCTACTTGGATCATAACAGCCTGGCCCCTAGAAAAATAATTTATGCCAAGTTATCTGTGGGCAGTGGACCCTCTGCTTACCCAAGCAACAAGGATAAGCCATATGCTGCAATGATTTAATGGCTGTTATTGAAAAAGCACAATGATATCAACTTAAGAAAGAAACTTTCCAAGTTGTAGGAAATATTTAAATCCCACAAGTAACAAAGATGGTTTCTTATAGTCAGTTTAAATAATGCAATAGAGGATATTTTCCTGTTTCTATGACTGTCACAAATATCAGAATCATGTTTGCTGCTGAATTTCTACAGCCCAAGGTAACAGACTCTCTACACATATGAACTTGAAAAGATTATTTGACCAATCTACCACTCTTGCAGTATTTCACATGATAATGTATCTTAGCTATTTCTATATCCCCGTTTTAAAATATAAAGCCTTACTAACCTCCTAAAACGCACTACAAAACAAAGTGGATGGACGTACACACAGACAGGAAAACTAACCTGTGATTTATTCATCTTCTGCTGCTCTTAGATGGTGGACCTAGGGGAGGAGAAGCAGGTAAATGAAGACCTGAGACATTTAGCTTGTGAAGGCGGGAATCTCCTGCATAAGAAGCATCAAAGAAAGCTCAATTAAAATAATTCTGTAGAGCTAGCCAGTAGCCTGGTAGTTGAGGTGCTGGATCCCACATGGCTGGATGAAAAACACCCCGGGCATGTGTGTGCAAGCCCAGAATCCCAAAAGGATGGAGAAATGATGGAGACAAGATTGTGGTGTAACCATTCCCTACTGGGAGGGAGGGCTTGCTTTCTCCCTTTCCCTATCTTTCTTTCTGTCTCTCTCCGGCGAGCACGTGTGCCCTCTATCAAATTTAAAATAAATAACCACCACTCTATGGCTCAGAAGAGGCCAAAACAGTAACACAGAGGAAGCACACACTTGTACCTTTGTAACTCCAACATGATCAGGTGGTAACAAGAGTCAGACTCTCACAGGTGAATACAGATTCCTTTTTCAGTCTGCCACCAATAAATACAAGGTGCACACACACAAAAAAAATTGTGTTACACACCTCACATAGCTTCTTATCTCTTTAAAATGCTTAAAAATCAGAGAAGCCAAGAAAATTGAAAATTTGAGCACTCAAAAATTGGATTAATACGCATGAGGCACGGTTTTGTTCTTACATTATCTGATTAAACTTGGTTAGCACTGCACATAAGAATCTTTATTAAGAAAACTGGCACAATAGAACAGTGGGGTGAGATGATTCCCAAGTTCTCCTATTAGCAATCCTATCAACAAACTTGTGACCAAGTGTCCATCTCCTCAGGCCCAATATCTATCAGCAGATGCAGATTTTCCTACACTGCACTGTACGATTCTACCAAGGCAGACCTTATGAGGAATCAGCAAACAAAGAGAACAGAGGTGCCCATGGTCGTCTACAGACTTGTCGAGAACCTGCAGCTCTGAGAGTTGGAGGAAGGGGTATAGGGGTCCGGAGGGAGAAGTGGATATATAACATTCGTAGCTAGGTTGGTGACCCACTTCGCTCTTGATAAACCTCGTCCTCATGGATCTTCCCACCCAGGGCCCATTCAGTGCTGCTTGCTCCAGCTAACCACGTCTCTCTGGAAGCGATCAAACCCTCCCCTGCCCCACACGCTAAGGGCCGCAGCACTCAGCGACCTCACCAAGCCCTGTGCACTCCAGGTAGAAAGATAAAGAACAGCCTAAAGCCGGTACCACGCTTCTGCTCCCGAGGCCTCCTCTTCCCACCTCACCACCGTTCTGTTTTCGAGCAGCCAGGTCCTGGCCTACTGGACAACCTCAGGCGCCCCCCGACCCTGTCTCTGCCCCTAACGCCGTCTCCCTCGGGACTCACCGTAAGACGGAAGGAAGGAGACGGTCTCTGGTCCCGAAGCCGCCCCTGCCCGCCTGGTCCTCCGGGACCAAGCGCCGGCGGGCTCCTGGGCTAGCGTGCGGAGGCCCTGCTCGAGCCTCCGCACGGCCCGCGCGAATACTGGCCCGCACAGCCCCACGCCCGCCTGGGTGCGGAGTCCAGATCCGCAGTCTGTGCGACTCACCCAGTGGAGGCCAAAGCCTGGGAACCAGGGCAAGCGGTCACCTAGGGACGGACAGGAAGCCAAGGCAGTGAGGCGGCGGTGCGCATGCACGAACACGCACCCCGGGGCGCGGGGCGCACGCGCAGGAGGGCGCTGGCACTCTGCCTCTCAGGAGCCAGGGTCAAGTACCAGGACTCTATTTCCCATAGGTCTACACGCCACCGGGTTTAGGAAACGTCTTCCTCTAGAGGTTAAGAGGCTAGGTATGAAGTTGGCAGTCAGAAACCCCAGTCTCAATTTTGCATTTGTCTTTTCCCTTCTGGGTAAAGTTGCGGACTGCGCGATTGCGCTCCGGAGCCCTAGTCTCTTTCTTGCCCTGAGACCTTTTCAGTTAAAACCGAGTTTCTGGTAACCAAAAGGAGAGGAAAAGGTGCTTCATGTTCACTTAACTAAAATATTAGAGGAAGTTTCACTCAAACTCAAAGATACGTGAATGCCCAGCGATGCTTTCCGAGGAAGGAGCAGAAAAGAGAAATTGGAGCTTTTCTAGATCACACAACCAGTGTATAAAAGCTGGCTTAAAAAGCAGAAAATAGACTCCGAAATCGAAAGAATACATGTGGTCTTATCTAAGAGAATTATGCTTATAGTTAGGTAAAAATGTCAACTTTCAAATATGAGAGTGTAAAGACAATGATTTGTCACTGTTTTGGGTAAAATAAGACAATTTTCTTGCCCAACTGTTTCTTAGAAGCTGGTGGAAGGGGAAGCCCGGTCACTAAAGAGCTCGGAGGCCGGCTTCGGGTGCTAGATATGGTTGGAGATTCTCCCATGGGTCGCGGCCATCGGCGTGTGCTTTGTCATTCCCGACTGGCCACTGTGTACATGCACAAGTTCATAAACAGGGGCAAGGAAAAGTGGGTTGCCCATTTTACATATCAGTGGCGTTTGATGGAAAGGGATAGGTGCATTTCTGGAGTTAAGTGTCACTATACGTCAAAGGGTTTGGAGAACATTGATTAAGGAAGCTGTTTCCTGATGGATGAAAAATAACTCAGTTATGGTCATCTACCCCTGCTAGCAGGTTCATACAGTGTGTTATGTAGCATGCAGGGTGTTCTATAATAGTGCTGAATAAAACTAAAATGAAAAAGAAAAAGAAAAAAGAAGCTGGTGGGAGGAAAATTAAAAAATAAATCCCCTACTGAGACCAGCAGTTAGCATAATGGCTATGTCGCTGAACTCCCATGTAGTAGACCACAGTTCGAGTCCCAGATCTGGTGACTTGATCTCACGCCAGGCATGTGTGTGTGCGTGTGCCTGAGTATCCCAAGAGGAGAATGGAGGAGAAGGGATTGCGGCGTGGCCAACCCCGCTGGGGGGTGATTTCTCACTTTCTGTCTCTCTACCTCTGTCTTTCCGTCTCTTTCTGGCGAGCGCACGCGCTCTATAGCAAAAACCTCTCTTCCCTCCCCCCTTCCCCCCCAAAAAAAACAACCCTAGTAACCCAGAAAATTATCTCCACACATGCAGAAAATAAAGAAAACAGTTTTGGGAGGCTTTATTTTTCTTTAGAGGTTTTTTTTTGGTTTTTTTTTTTTGGTTTTTGTTTGTTTGTTTGTTTGTTTGTGTTTGTTTTTTTTTTTTTTGTCCTAGGGTGCCTGAACTCGCCAGAGAGAGAGACTGTGAAAATGAGATATCACCACCCCCAGCCCTCGCAGGGGATATGGGCAACCATGCCAGCAGGTGATTTTCAAGCCACTGGGTCGGGTACTCCAACCACGGGGAACCATGTGGGAGTTCAGCATCTCTGGCCCCCAAGAAAACAGTTTTATTATCAAACAAGTATTAAAACCAGACTGTGATGCCCATCCCAGACAAACTACCAATAAGATTGTAAGGAGGAGTAACCTCAGCTTTTTATATACCCAGGCAGATGAAATCTGTTGCACAAGCATACATGTCCTCAAATGGTAGCTTGTCCTCTTAAAAAACAACTTGACAGCATCATTCACTAACATTCTTACATAGATCGTCCTGAATTTACTTGGTAATTGGGATGGCCCTTTGTGCTAGTTAATTACCTTTACAAAAGAAAAGAAAACTTGTTTTAGCTCTTCAGGAAGTAGGTAGTTACAGCTTAGAACAAGGTTCCTAAGCCAAACTCACAAGGCCACAAGGAGATAGGGACTCTATCTCAGGCCCTTTAAAAAACATACCTGGGTTGAAATGCTGGTTAGAAGTTTGCTTAGCTTTTGGGAACCAGCAGTTAGCGTAATGGCTATGTCGCTGAACTCCCACGTAGTCGACCACGGTTCGTGTCCCAGACCCGGTGGCTTAAAACTCACGCTGGGCGCGTGTGCGTGCGTGCCCAAGATTCCGGGAGGAGAATGGAGGAGACGGGATTGCGGCGTGACCATCCCCCCTGCGGGGTGATTTCTCGCTTTCTGTCTCTATGTCTCTCTCTGTCTGTCTGGCGAGCGCGCGCGCCCTATAGTGAAAAAAAACAAACCCTCTCAAAGAAGTTTGCTTAGCTTTTCAAAAGATTTAGATTTATATCAAAGAGACAAAGGTAGTATTTAATTTACAAGTTTTAGCAAGGAAATGCTCTACAAAATGGAAAAGGAGGGACCAGCAGTTAGCGTAATGGCTATGTCAAACATGCTTCGAGTCCCGGATCCGGTGGCTTAAAACTCACCCCAGGCGCGTGTGCGTGCGTGCCCAAGATCCCGATAGGAGAATGGAGGAGAAGGGATCGCAGCGTGGCCATTCCCCCTGGGAGGTGATTTCTCGATTTCTGTCTCTCTGTCTCTCTGGTGAGCGCACGTGTCCTATATCAAAAACCTCTTAAAAAAAAAAAGAGAAAGAAAGAAAGAAAGAAAGAAAGAAAGAAAGAAAGAAAGAAAGAAAGAAAAAAGAAAAGGAGAAAAGGACCCGCAGGTGGCAGGTGGTGTGGTGGTTAAAGCCACTGGACTCCCACATGGCCAACTGCTAGGCGGTTTGCTTTCTCACTTGCCCCCCCCCCACATCCCTCTCTGGTCAAATTAAAATAAATAAAGTTAAATAAAATAATTTTTAAAAACTTTTGGTAACAAAATTTAATCTTTTTAAGAAAATCTGTGAGATGCAAGTAACAATGTTCAAAAAAATGATAAAAGTGAAATGTGGTTAAGATATAATGTAGACTGGGGGATAATGAACACAATATATTTTAACGTAAGTATGTACTCTAAGAAAATGTGAATTATAAACCCATGCATGTAATAATTAAATACAAATCTAAAAGGAATTTTAAAAAAATATTACAGTATTGGAGCCGGCAGGTGGCATGGCGGTTGAGGTCTGAACTTCCACATGGCTGACTGTGGTTCAAGTTCTGGACCTGGTGGCCCAAAAATCACAAAAAATAAATAGATAAATAAATAGATGTTAAAATAAATAAATAAATGTTTTTTGGGGCTGGCAGGTGTGCCATGGTGGGTAAAGGGCTCTGAACTTCCATCTGGCCAACCACAGTTCAAGTCCCGGCCTTGGCAGCTTGCTTTCTTACTTTCTCTCTTTCCTCCTCCTCCCTCTCTGGCCAAATTACAATAAATAAATAAAGTCAAATAAAATAATTCTAAAAATAAATTAAATAAATATTTTTTTTTACAAATGCTTGTGTGTCATTGTGATTTTTTAAAAAAATACAATATAAAATAGTGTAAACAAACACACCTCAGAGGGACATGGTCTTAAAAGATAGAGCAAAAATCAAACCCCATATAATCCAAGAGTACACTATCTGTGGAATTAAACACAGGGAAGGAGGGTCTTCAAAAAATTTGTGAAAAATGTATATTATGAAAAACTATCCATGGTTTTAAATTTTTTTGCACCAAAGTAAGTTTATGATTTAATTCCATCTTTCTTTTTAAAAAGGTTTATTTATGATTAATTTATTATTATTATTATTCTTTCATTTTGACCAGAGAGAGACAGACAGACAGAAAGGGAGAGTGAGAAAGCAAGCTGCCAGGTTCGGGACTTGAACTGTGGTCAGCCATGTGGGACACCCGCACCTCAACCACCATGCCACCTGCCAGCCCCCTTTAATTCCATCTTTCCATGAACTTTGAAATACCTTCATATAAAGGTGGGTGGATACATACTCCAGGAATATCTGTGTGATGTTTAGAAAATTACATAACCTTGTTGTGACTTGGTTTTCTTTTTTTTGGAGGGGGGCAGGGGAGAGGTTTTTGCTATAGAGCGTGTGCACTTGCCAGAAAGACAGAGAGAGACAGAGAGACAGAGAGACAGAAAGCGAGAACTCGCCCCCTGGGGTGGGGGGATGGTCACGCTGCAATCCCTTCTCCTCCATTCTCCTCCTGAGATCTTGGGCATACACACACACACGCCCTGCGTGAGTTTAAACCACCGGGTCCGGGACTCAAACCCTACTCAACTACATGGGAGTTCAGCAACATAGCTATTACGCTAACTGCTGGTCCCGTGACTTGGTTTTCTAGTCTGTCCTTGGAGACTCATAATTCTATGTCGTAGTAGGTGAAGATTGGTATCATTCTCTACAGATTCAATACCTGCCACTGCCACCTGAATGGGTGGTTTAAACATCTGACCCAACTCCAGTGCCTCCTAGAGTCAACAGAGCATCCTTTTTCTGCCAGCACAGGAAGCTCCACACACTAATGCAGGTATGGTGGGGTCTGTGGAGACACAGGTGCTTCTCTAGGACCTGGAACAGAGACAGCAGCTGTGGACCAAGATGGGGGGACAGAGCTGGGTGAGGAAGGGAAAAGAAAACTGAACTCAGGAATCAGTTTCCAGACATATGCTTACTACACCTAGGACGGAATAAAAAGAGCCCACCCAGAAGGAGTTGCAGAGTGGATCGCCAGCAGGACACCCAGGCTTCAGCTCCAGCTATCAATTGTTCTCATGTGATTGGGGGAATTTTCTGGGCTTCAGTTTTCTCATCTAACAAAATGGAGAACTAAGAGTAAAATTAAACTCTCTGTCCATCCAGCACTCCCTAATGACAAGGCTTTAACATTGTGGTCTGACAAAAGAGAAAACTTTACAAGGACCAGCTCCCTTATTA